GATCTCCAGTCAACCTGAATGGCAAGTTAATGTAGGTCCTCCGTCTCTTTACGAAGTTTAAAAAGCCATAGGAAATCTGAAGCGAGGGAGAGCAACAGGCCCTGGCAGGTTTACTCCTGAGATTTTTAAGGATGGTGGTCCAGTATTAGCAGTGAGATTAACTGAGGTCTTAGGTAGAATTTGGGAACTGGACGTAATCCCATCTGACTGGTCTCAGTCACTGATTGTGCCAGTTTTTAAGAAAGGACAAAAGTCCTCTTGTGACAATCACAGAGGAATCAGTTTGACAAATATAGTGTCTAAAATATCAGCTTCAATAATACTTCGACGGCTAACCAAAGCTCATGGAGAACAGACTAGAGAAAATCAGGCTGGTTTTCGACCTGGACGTGGTTGTATAGATCAGATATTCACACTACGTCAGGTTCTAGAACACATACACACGTCCAGACGCCCCACAATCGTATTATTTCTCGACCTTAAGGCGGCATTCGACTCTGTTGATCGTAAGGTTCTATGGCAGTGTTTGTCACTGAAAGGAGTACCAAAGAAGTACATTAACCTTATACAGGCTCTTTACTCGAACACAACTGGCAGAGTGAGAGCTTATGGCGAACTGTCATCAGAATTGATTACCTCAAGTGGTGTTCGTCAGGGCTGTCCACTCTCTCCATTCTTGTTCAACTTTGTCGTCGACGTACTTTTAGAGATAACTTTCCTCGTCTAGATTTCCAGGGGTTGAACTTCTACCGGGAGGTTCACTTGTTGACTTAGAATATGCTGATGACATAGGTTTATTTAGCGAAGACGCTGACAAAATGCAGTCTTCTGACCACTCTAAGCAACAATACAGGCATGTTCGGCATGCGATTCTCCCCCTCAAAATGCAAAATGTTGCTTCACGATTGGGTTACATCGACACCCGAACTAGTGATAGGGAGTGAAGTAGTTGAGCGTGTCGACCGATTTACTTATCTTGGAAGTCTCATCAGCCCTTGTGGTCTGGTGTGTGACGAAGTCTCAGCACGGATACAGAAGGCTCGACTTGCTTTTACCAACTTGCGTCATTTATGGCGTAGGCGAGATATCCGTCTATCAACCAAAGGACGGGTTTACTGCGCAGCAGTTCGTTCCGTCCTACCTTATGGCAGTGAAACATGGCCGGTAAGAGTAGAGGATATCCGTAGGTTACTAGTATTTGATCATAGGTGTCTTCGAAATATTGCTCGTATATCCTGGGACCATCAAGTAAGTAATGCAGTTGTTAGGAAACGGGTACTAGGTAAGGATGGCAAATCAATTGATGAAGTAGTGAAACTTGATCGGTTGAGATGGCTGGGACACGTGTTACGTATGGCCAACGACCGACTGCCTCGACGTGCTATGTTCAGTGGTATAGGAGTAGGTTGGAAGAAAGCTAGGGGCGGCCAGACCAAAACATGGCACAAGTCCATGAAGTCACTGACAAGTGGACTGAGTCATGTTGGTAGGTGTCGACTACCTGGTTGGGGACCGCGAGATGATAGCAACCGATGGTTAGAGACCCTGAATGACATGGCTCAAAATCGTTTGCAATGGCGCAGGTGCATGCACTCTCTGTGTTCTCCCAAATTCTAATCTTCTGAATTCTTCATGTCCCTTTCTTTTTCCTCTTTCCAAATTTATTTCACTGGATTTTACTCTTTAAATAACATCTCCAAACCCTAATCTTCCCGATTACTGAATGTACTATTGCTACCTCTATCACTACGGGATTTGAATCGACAACTGCATCTCTGTGCTAATGTGGTGTGGCAACTCGAACTGATGTACGTACGTACGAAGTTCTACGTTGTTACTGACTGACTGACTGACTGACTGACTGACTGACTGACTGACTGACTGACTGACTGACTGACTGACTGACTGACTGACTGACTGATCGCCATATTCTCCTCATTTCATCAATGATTGTGGAATTTCACTACGCTTATTTACATGATATCAGCCATTTTATGACATGAATTTTATTGAATTACTTTTTAATAACGCTTCTCGGGCCATAATTCACTTCAAATGTTGAAATATTTGTTTTATATTAGATCAAATTATTTTAATAATTCTAACATCCAGTACTGTTGTAATGGACGCTACTCACAAGGAAATTTGTATTAAGTGTGCAGCGGAACTTGACATCGAAGTTGCAAGGGAGTGATGAGTTTCAGTGCATCGAAGGCACGGTGATGGCAGAACATTTGGAGACCAGATGAGAAAACATTTCTATCACAAAGCACACCAAAATATGCAGATGGATGACTGAAGGCTATGTATGTGTATTATGTAAATACTTTGTAACTTACTGCAATAAATATAACTTCTTTATGCCTATTGTCTTATCTACACCATTATTACTATAAATATGTCAGTATAGCTCGTCTCCCCTTATTAGGAATAGATGACTATGTTATTGAACCATATTGATAGTAATCAAAAGTTATTTGTCAACTTAACTAAAATCATACCCATTCGGTTGGACAAAAAGGTAAGACATAGCATATGTACATGCCTACCGAACTTATGACATATTATCTGCATGAAGAAAAGGATTTACAGTGAGGGAAATTTTGATGGAGTTTTGTTCTCTGAGCTGGATGGTTTGGTCGTGGAGCTTTCATCGTTCTTCTGAACGACATCATCAGCACAAACTTCAGATAGAAGTGAAGTGTTCGATTTTCTCCATATGTGCTTCACAGCTTGTTCTGTGCACCTCGATGTTGATTGGTTCTTGTTGACCTTAAATTTATCATTGTTCACTTCTTTGTTTTGGTTGTGTCTCCCATTGTTTTGATTTTTGTTCTTATATATATGCATGATTTTCTTGATTGGTTGATAAATTGGATTGATTTCAATATGTTTGTTGATTGCTGATTGACCTGAGTGCCAGGCTTCTAGAAATTCTCTGGTGTTTTTGGAGTTTCCTCTGTCTAAGATTTCTACATTTTCCCAATCGAATGAGTGTCCGTAGTTATCCACGTGTATTGAAATAAGTGAAGAGATATCATGGCGTTTGACTGCTAATTGATGTTCATGTAGGCGTAGGTGGAGGGGGCGTCCGCTTTGTCCGATGTAGTGTTTGTCGCAGTTGGTACAATTTATTTTGTAGATAATGTTTGATTTGTTCACCAATATCAGGACTGATCGCAGAAGCAGTGATGCAACGACTAGAAGCCACGATATTACCAGTGATCAAACCAAAAATTTGGATTCGCTACGTAGACGACACCTTCGTCATCGTCAAAAAGGATGAACTGGAAAACATATACAAATTGATCAACAACGTCTTCAATGACATCAAGTTCACAATGGAACAGGAGTCAAACAACCAACTAGCATTTTTGGATATATTGATCACTAGAACTGATACAGGAAAACTGGAAACTCAAGTATATAGGAAACCAACCCATACAGATCAAATTCTCAACTACAACAGCAACAACCCAAGGGCTCACAAAATCAACTGCGTACACACATTGTTCAAGAGGGCGAGAACACACTGCAGCACACTGGCAGCACGAAGAAATGAAGAGAAATACCTGAAGGACATATTCCAAAAGAACGGCTACCCAATCAATTTCATCAAAAAGCACCAACGGCACACAGCATCACAACCCAAGTCAAGCACAAAAATCAGTAAAAGGATCACCCTACCGTACATACAAGGAATATCAGAAACTGCAACGAGACTGCTGAAAACCTTCGGGATAGGTGTGGCACACAAACCAACAAAATCACTACAATCAATCTTATGCAAACCAAAAGATGAAATAACAAAGGAGAACAAATCAAACATTATCTACAAAATAAATTGTACCAACTGCGACAAACACTACATCGGACAAAGCGGACGCCCCCTCCACCTACGCCTACATGAACATCAATTAGCAGTCAAACGCCATGATATCTCTTCACTTATTTCAATACACGTGGATAACTACGGACACTCATTCGATTGGGAAAATGTAGAAATCTTAGACAGAGGAAACTCCAAAAACACCAGAGAATTTCTAGAAGCCTGGCACTCAGGTCAATCAGCAATCAACAAACATATTGAAATCAATCCAATTTATCAACCAATCAAGAAAATCATGCATATATATAAGAACAAAAATCAAAACAATGGGAGACACAACCAAAACAAAGAAGTGAACAATGATAAATTTAAGGTCAACAAGAACCAATCAACATCGAGGTGCACAGAACAAGCTGTGAAGCACATATGGAGAAAATCGAACACTTCACTTCTATCTGAAGTTTGTGCTGATGATGTCGTTCAGAAGAACGATGAAAGCTCCACGACCAAACCATCCAGCTCAGAGAACAAAACTCCATCAAAATCATCCACCTGAGCTACAAATCTTCTCCACCACAGTGAGGGAAAGCACAACAGTCAAAATAATATTATTAAAAGAAGAGTAAACCAAATATGAAGAACAAAATCCAAACAGATCGCATAAAACTGGAGGTTGAAAAGACTGAAAAAAATATTATGCTGAACATTCGGAAAAGAGAAAACGAACAATTCTGCATGAATAAATTAGATTTTGAGCTATGGTATGTCAGGTCTGAAACCACAGTTTACGTTTATCCTATAGACATAAGATTTACAAACTCTGGAGTTAAGTGTCTACTAACCATATATGACCTATTCCAGCAAAAGTTACGTACATCCATTTGATCCCACGAATTATCTGTTCTCTTTGATATTGGATAATCGAAGACAAAAATGCTCCTACTGATTGCTTTTAACCGTCTAAAATCTAATACTATGCGCTATGGTGTGAACTTACTTAGTCTAGAGACTAGTTTGTAAACATGATTGAAGGGATTTGACAATAGGATACAAGTTACCAATCAGTGACATATTAGTTTAATCTGTTTTTTTAAATGGTTGGTCATTCATAACAGATTATCAAATATTTTCGTCTGACTAAACTCGGAAAAACCACTAAATTTGAACGTACCAATTTTAATTTGGAACCAGCCAGCTGTAAAGCTTTAACTGCTTCATTATGTGTAGCGCCAATAAGACTAATACCATTGACTGATAATATTCTGTCACCAAATCTGAAAAAGTAGAACACGATATAACTCACTTCGTTTCCCAACCACATTTAAAGGATTTATATAAAAATATCTAACCAGCATAGATAAGAGTTTACCGAAATTCTGGTAAGAAGTTATTATAGATTGGGTTTATTCCATCCACCAACGGCATTGGATGATTATCAAGCTATATAATGATTCGATTGACACTAGAAATCTGGACCATTTGATACCAACCTGGCGGGCTGAATATTTCATGTTTGCAACAAGACCTAAAAGCATTTGGTTCAATCCCCAGGTACGAAGCACTTTAGGTTACACGTTGAGACAAAGGAGAATTCAAGAGTTTTTTGCTTTCATACAGTTCCCATCAGAGTTGACTCTGTCATTAAAACTGCCATCAAATTAAACAATATATGCAAAAACTTCTTAACTTTCTAAAAAGTCACATACAAAAAATCCAATATTATGCTCTCAAAAATGTTACACCTCTCATAATACAATTATTCCATTCATAGTGATTTGTTTAATTTAACAAGACAGTTAGTTGTAAACATAAAACTAGAGAGAGAGAAAAATGAAACACCTTAAAATTAGGGATGGTTTGAATAATTTGCATAAACAAACTAAAATATCATTTCTCCCTTTTTATCCTGATAAAATATAATTACATTATTGGAACATTGAAGAGGTAACAGAGATTGTAGCAACAACTAAAGATGGAAAACAAAGATATGGAGAAAAAATTGATCAGATTAAAATCTCCAGTAAACGAAATCAATGGATGAATGAACGGATAAATAATAAGACAGTGATATCACATGTCGTGTTTTAGTTTCTTTCTGTTGTTGGTTCTTACCCTCCTCGCTCATCATTTTGTTGATATGTATATGGACACTGGTAATATTGAATAAGAAAATAACATATACATATGCTTTCTAGTCGTATGTGATAGAGTGACATTAATATCGTAGTATTCCCGAATTTCGATAACTGGTTACCATTAGTGGTGAGCGAACAAATATCATATTATTTTTGAACTCAAAACAATTGAAAAAATGCTAGTAATGTTTCTACACTTAAATATTATTCATTGTACACTATCAACATAGTCGAATGAATTGACTCAAAAGAAGCACGAATTAAAAGCTTGAGCATTGTAGAGTCATTAGTGATTCAACAGTTTAAGCTTGAACTATCAGTACAATCTCTCATACTTCCACGGTACTAGAACCTATCCTGATTTGATTTCTTTAGTAGTTAACCCTCTGTCCTTACCTTCTTTTGATCTTTAAAAATTATTCAGCTGTTATTATCACATTCACGTTTTTTATGCATTCTTCACATCTGTCCAGTAGACAATCATTCCTTACATTTCTGCTCCGTAAGTTATTTCCATCTCATTACTTTTCCCACAACCTGTAGACCAATACGCAGCCATGTTGTGATACTTGAAATATCCGGACACTTGGTGATTTACTCTCTATTTTTTAATGGGCTTAAATATTTTCGAACTATAACCTTGATTAAACAGCTTCAGCAAACGACATTTCCGAAAACAAAATTCTCTCTGCATAATTGTCTCTAATCTTTTCCTTAATGATCAACGAATTTCTTTAGTGACTTTTGAATCAGCAATGCATTTATTGGTAACACATATACGATGTGATAGAATGAAAGAAAATGTTTCAACGTTTAAAAAAAGCCTATCAGTACGTATTTAAGTCATCTTCACAATGAACTGACACTGGAAACCAAGATGTGAACAGCGATTTCATAGCTATTTGTTAGAAGTTAGCATGAAGAAACTAACACAACAATGAAATCATGTTCTTCAACTTTTAAGTTGAACACAACGACAATAGGCAGATGCATTGAAATCCAATGGCTAGCATTTCCATCACTATTCTGTTTAAGATATCTTATAATCCTCATTGTACATTATTGGTAAATTTCTATCTCACTCTCAATTTGACGGACAATAAAATTCACAGTTTACCACAAGAATTTCTAAAAATAGATAAGGTAGTTACCGAAAGGATTCCCGACCGTTGCTGTTACCTTGGATTGATGGTTGCGCTTGTCTATCGCAAGAAACCAATCCGCCTATACTTACTGGAACAATCGTTTCTCAAGGTCCTACCATGCCAAACAGGTCAGTTGAAGAGCGAGAAGACTAAAAGCAGCAAATCCAAGGTCCGAGGGCGGAGTCGTACTCCTGGCTGTACAGAGGTGTGATGGCAGTAAGGTTTTTCCTTCAGACAATCAATGTAACAGAAATGCTGCCTTCCCACAAAGGAAAGTTGGGGTTGTAGTCGTAGCACTAAGTACGAGGGCAGAACAAGCACTTTTAGAATGAATCTCTGTTAACAGTTGCCTATATGCTGTTCGGCTAAACGGCTCCGTAAGAACTCGGAAGGATAAGGACACATATCGTTGCCTCCTCATCGTCTCTGCCCATGCTCCCACTGACTGCAGCCTAAATGAAGTGAACGTCTTCAAAAAGCTAAACACTCAGACGTAGCACTCGTAGCAGGTGACTTTCATGCCCAGGTAGGTAGTTTGAGACAAACAGAAAAACACTTAGGTGGGTATTTTAGTACTTCGTCTCAGCGAACAGGTAACGGTGACCGTCCACTGCAACTGTCCTCAGACAGTCGTTTATTTTTAGCAAACACAAAATTTAGGCATAAGGGGAGACATCATTTAACATAGCGATCCACTGCACCAAATCAACGATGGACTCAAATAGACCATATTGCCATAAGTCATCGTCGGAGAGGCTCGACAGACGATTGTCTCTCGATCTGGAGTACATGGTTAAAATCCAATCATACTCCAATACGAGTACGCATTTGCTTGCGCTTCACTTGACGCAGAAGAACCACATTAAGAGGACCTATCAGAGTTGAACTCAGTGATAAGAAAGACAAAATTAGATTCCATAAACTACTGAGGTCACACATAGGTAGTTCTGAAAACGAGGCTGACACAGATGTTGCTTAGAAAGATATATGAAAAGATGTGGAAACAGCAGTGACATCTATTAGTGATTTGAATCAAAGAGTTACGAAAAACCAATGGATTACTACTAAGTCTATCGCAGTGACAGATTCGCGTAAACACGCCCCATCTGGCTCCGAACACGATGACGAGCAAAAACAGGTCAGACATAGATTAAACAAAAGTCTACGGAACGACTGTGAGCAGTGGTGGGCAACCAAAGCAAAAGAGGTGGAAAAGTCAGCGACTGTAGGTAACGCCAGACAGCTATTCAAACTAATAAAATAAACTGGAATTAAGAAATCAAGTGTGAATGAAACACGAAACTTATCCGCTCTCAGCCCAGAAGTTTCGAATGATGGGCGGAACACTTTAAGGAGCGGTTCAGATGACGTCTGCAATCACCCACTCAGTAGACCACGAGATTCTGTGGCAGTGTCTGTCATTGAAAGGCGTACCTCAGAAGTACATAAACCTTGTGAAGGCTCTTTACTCGAACACTACTAGTCGAGTCACAGCTTATGGCGAACTGTCATCTGCTTTTGCAACCTAAAGTGGTGTCCATCAAGGCTGTCCACTTTCTCCATTTTTGTTCAACTTCATCATAGACCTACTGATGGAAATAACGCTCTCATCGACTGAATTTTCGGGCGTTGATCTCCTTCCAGGAGGTCCACTTATCGACTTAGAATACGCAGATGACATAGTCCTGTTTGGTGAAGACACTGATAAAATGCAGTCTTTTTGTAGCACTAAGTAACAGTGCCAGAATATTTGGAATGCCCTTCTCTCCCTCTAAATGCAAGTTGTTGCTTCAGGACTGGTCTGCGTTAACACCTGAACTAAGGATAGGGAGTGAAGTAGTCGAACGCGTTGAAAACTTCACTTATCTTGGGAGTCTGATCAGCCCTAATGGGTTGGTGTCTGATGAAATCTCAGCACGGATTCGAAAAGCTCGTTTGGCTTTTGCCAACTTACGTCACCTATGGAAAAGGCGAGATATCCGTCTATCAATTAAGAGACGAATATACTGAAAGGCAATTTGTTCATTTCTAATTTACAGCTGCGAAACATGGCCATTAAGAGTAGAAGATATTCGTAAGTTACTAGTACTTGATCACAAGTGCCTTAGAAATATTGCTGGCGTCTGCTGGGATCATCGGGTAAGTAATAGTGAAGTTAGACGCAGGGTATTAGGGAATGATGGTAAATCAGTTGATGAGGTTATGCATCTTCATCGACTGAGATGATTTGGTCACGCGTTGCGTATGCCTGAACAAAAATTACTACGACGTGCCCCCCGAATGCTCTGGTACGGCCGAGAGTGGGGAGAGTCCGCTCTCCCTCTCGAAATACTCTCACACGGCCGCGCGCATACAGCCTCTGCCAGGGAAGTCCTACTCATTGCCTCCTCGTGGCGGGGGTGTTGTTTACGAAAATGAGAGGACGAAAAGCGAATGTCAGGCGCTTTAACCGGATTCCAAACCAATGGTGCACATGGGCTCCAGTATCCTGTGGGAACAAATGGCGTATGAACCAATCGTTGGTCACCGGCTACCATGGGTTTGCATCTCCTTACGATGCTCCACTGCCTTGTGGGTTAGACCTTTAGGTCAAAGGCTCGGGGAGTGGCCGCCTAATAATACCACCTGCTTCGGTTTGGGCACCCGGGCAGTATCACAGCCCACACACAGATTATGAACTCTCTATGCCTATGGAAATTACTTTTCTCGCTTCGAAAAACAACCAATTGATTCAAATTATTATCATTACAATTATTGTCATTATTAATACTATTATAATTATTACTATTACTATTATTATTATTATTATTATTATTATTATTATTATTATTATTATTATTATTTTCCACATTATTCAACCTCTTTTATACTTATACAGCGGCTCGTCTTTGGTGGAAATACGACTACATCTAAACGTTCACGAGTCACTGTCCGGTTGAAAATTGTATGTTACCATCGAATATGAGTACTGAAGCAGTTTTTCTGAAACCATGT